AGTCTATCATTTCCTTTGGGATAGGGCCTAGGCCCACCCCCGTGTGTCTTGGCTCAGGGAGTATTCCTCTATGTGGAATGGGCTCCCAAAGTCCACACCTATGCTAGGGAAAAGGGCTGAACTCCTACAGGAACAGTGAAGGCTTTCCCACTTTCTTCACTTGTTAAAATTATTATGATTCATGCAGTAGTTATATAAGAAAAAATTAGCCAGAGTTAAATGTAAAGAATTTGGTGATTTCAACTCATAAAATCTAATTGGCTGCTTGCAAACGTGTCATGAAACAGCCCTCATTCACTCTGTAGAGAAACCATAATGGAAGATACTGCCAGGCTCTCAGTTGCCTTGATCCCATTTAAGCGGTGCGGGGAGGGGAGGGGCGGGGTAAGCCTCAGGTTGGCCCTGTAAGTTGTAAGAGGGCCATTTATCTGTGACTCTATCCAGACACCCAGTACCAGGTGGTATAACTAACACTGAGTGAACAGATTTGCCTTTGTCTCAGTGGGACTGGTGAGGCATTGAGGGTCCCCAGCAGCTCAGCTGGGTCCCGAGAGGAAAGTCTGGAATCTCCATTTTAGCTCCGAGATTGAAAACATATATGGGAAATAACTTCTTCCTGACATATTTATATTTAATTCTTTTCCTAATTAAATCAGCATAGTGAAAATTAGATTGTAAGACAGAAAGCTATGGATTTCAATGCATCTGAGATATTGATCATAGATTTTAATTAATGGCTTATTTCATTGCATTATTGTAACCCTATAATCATATTTGAAAAACACAAACATGTAGGGATAATATTTGCAAGAAACTGGGAAACAGGTTAAGGAATACCAGACTGCAGTAAGGGTTTTGGTTCAATTCTGTCCCCACATCTTATTCCAAGCAAGACTGAGCTATAAAACATGCTCCTCAATCCAGAACCAGAGAATAATGGAGACAAGTACTCCACCTGGTTAGAATTTAAGAGCAATTTCCTGAGGCTCTGTCTTAGAGAGGGTTAGGACTGCTTGAAGAAACACCATGACTACACATTTAATTGGAGGGGCTCCCTTACAGTGCAGAGGGTTATCATGACAGGGAGCATGATGGCACTCAGGCAGGCCTGGTGCTGGAGCAGTAGCCCAGTGTCCTCCATGGGGCAGGCAGGCAACAGGAAGTCGACTGACAGTCACACTGAGGGACGCTTGAGCAAAAGAGACCTCAAAGCCCACCTTCAGTGACACATTTCCTCCAACAAGGACACAGTTCCTAATAGTGCCCCTCCCTTTGGGGGCCATTTTCTTTCAAACCAGCACAGGCTCCATTATAAGAACAAAAGAACAGACAATGGAGCCAGTTGAGGCTGGCCATGCACTAAAGGGTTAATAAGGACTGTTTCACAGAGCCATTGTCTAACACTAGTTTAAGTAAGTCATGTTATCCCAGATGATTCTGGAACTTTCCATTGCATGATTTCACTATATAGATAAACTCTTTATTAAGCTTTTCGGATGGGTAGAAAAGCCAAATCAATCACAGACCAATTTCATACAATTTACTTACAAATATCAATGTTTTATCAATTAAAAATAGGTGTTACTAGTACTGAACCCAAACTTAGATTTCTTCTGAAAAACCAGCCTATGTTTTTATTTCAAATTAAAGAAAAATCACCACGTAGGTCAGCAAATATCTTATTAGATCCTAACATTTTAAAAGAGTTTTGGAAAGGTAAGAATAGTGTTTTAAGGTTATCTTTGGAGGAAACCCATTAAATTTTAAAAGGAAATTGTTTTTTGAAGATTTATCATGTAACTGAACTCATAAAATGCTGTTTCAGCTTAGAATATACCAGCACTAGGTACATTTACTACTGTGAGTATCCACTTTGTTCTTTTCGGGTATCCTCACCATGGAAATGAGAATCCCTCCTTGTATACGTTGACGAGACCAAGTGAGGCAGTGAGAAGACTGTGCCAAATTAAAACAAGGACCAAGTGACTAATTTAGGTCATGACCTGGTGGTCACACTGCTCCCCAATCCATTCTTTACTCATCTTTCTTAACTTATTTATTTACATAATTTCACTTGGCTTCACTCCGCAACACATAGTTACAGAAAAATTTAAAATAAATCTAGACATTAAAGACCTTGACACTTGATCCAGAGAAGATGCTATTGCTGTGTGTGTGTGTGTGGGGGGGTCTAAAACCAAAGCTTGGCAGGGGAGACAGCTCAGTGCAAGCACTACTACTTAAGTGTGAATTAAATCTCCAGAAGTTAAGAACAAGACCAAAGTCCCAACCAGGCAGGATGCGTGTTTGTGATCCCAGGACTGAGGCAGAGAAAGGAAGATCAGCGGGGCTCACTGACAGCCAGCCCAGCCTAATTTACAAACAGCAGGGCAGTGAAAAGCCCTTCCCCCAAACCTCACAACCCCTTTAATGGATAAATAAATAATAATAATAAAAACTTTAGATAACCAAAGTAACCCATATTATTGGTGCCTGAGGAAGAATGACACCCAAACTTGCCTTCTGTTCTTAATACACAAATGTACACATGTACAAGCACACACACACACACACACACACACACACACACACACATGCATGCACGCACACAAACAAAAGCTCTTGTCTAGCTTAAAGAAATGAAAGGACGGCTTTTTACTCTGTTATTAAAATCTTTATTACAAGAAAAAACCAAATATACAATGAGCAACAACAAATTTCATTAAATATTAACCATTTTAGCTGTCAAAGCTATTTAGACCATACACATTCAGTGTTCCTGCATAGCAGAGACACAGTGACTACATAACCCATGCCGCCATGGGCTCGGGAGAGCCCAAACCACCAGGCGCGGGGCGGGAGGGGGAGCTGAGCCCACATGGCAAGGCGCTAGTGGGAACTTTTTGGTATAAAAGTATCTAAAGTGACCTTCTAACAAACAGATCATTGATAAACAATAGTAAGTTATGATTGATTGCCTCACTTATCTCCTCGTGGGGTTGACTTGCTCTGAGTCTGAGTTGGTAAACTCAGTTCTCCAACTTAGCAGTCCTCATAAAATTACTTAAAACTGAATCAAAAACAGTTCCTGTTTCTGTTGGCACAATAAAAAACCAACAGGTAAACAAGTTGTTTCATATAAAACGTTAGTGGAATGACATACAGAGCAGGCTCTCACGGAAGGGTCATGTGTTTCGGAGCTTTTTCAGCACAGGGCGCACCTGTTGCCACCCTCCAAGGGGGAAAGTTTCCCTGTGTAACTCCCACAAGACAGAAAATGTGTAGATGCCGACCGACTGTGTTTTTAAGGAACTACTTGTAGAAAACGTTACACTTTAAAATGTCTTCTGGTAAAAACAAAGACAAATCCAGCAAGTACTCCCTCTGGTTGCTTGCGTGTAGCACACGTTTGTGAATGTCCACGATGTGCAAGGGGAATTGTTAGTGTCACACTATGCGCTCCTCTGGCGTTGAGGATTGTCAGAAGTCGTGAAATGACCAGAGGCGTCTGGTCACAGAGCAAGATGGAAACAAAACAGAACAAAATAAAGTAAAAAATGTGAGAAGACTTTTCGTCGCTTGACATTGCAAGGTTTAATTTCTCCAAACAAGGTCTGTACACTTGCCCACAAGATCCGGGAAGTGCTGACAAGCCAGGAAGGCACTTGTGAGAGAGCTGAGTGGGAATGGCTGGACAGCTCTCACAGGAAGCATTCTCTACTTAGACAGGCAGAAGCCAAGGAGGGTGGCCCCGCTCAACAGGTTGGCTATTAGACAGGAGTGGGGAAGAGCCTTGAAAACTTTTATCTTGCTTTAATTATCAATTTTCCCTGCAGAAGCCTTTTGGTTGTCATCTCAAAAACAAAAACAAAAACAAAGAAACAAACAAACAAAAAAACCCAAAAAACATTAGGAGCTATTGATTTAAATCATGTGTCCTTCATTAAGTTAATACTAAAAAGAATATGAATGTATTCCATATATTTTTCAAAACATCCAAGCCACTTTATGTAAAAACAAAACAAAACAAAAACAAAAACAAACTGAAAGAGCTTAGTATAAAAATGTTGCATGTTATTAACAATCCCCTTGCGACTTCCGATGGCTTCACAGGTTACATACATTGTGGGCTTTGGTATGAGATGCTAAGGCAAGCAAGCAGCAGGGCT